GGGGTGGGAACCCTTGAGACAAAGGACAGGGCATGTCTCAGAAGTGACATCCCACCCCTCCCAGAAGTCGTCAGACCACCCCTTTGCCTCCTGCCTGATGGAAAAGGCTTAAGAGTGGCCCAGCCCACTTAGGAAAGCATTCCAGGCCTTGCAGAGGCAGCAGCTTACCTCAGCCACCTTATGACAGGGGTGGTCCTGTCATCTCCATACGGAGGAGGCAGACCACTAGGTGCCCTCTCCCCCTGGCCTTGCCGTCTCCTTCAGCCGGGAGTGGGTTGCTGGGTCCCCACTGCAGGGCACGCCAGGGTGAGAGGTGCCTGTAGTGCCATGTTGCTCTCACCACAGAGCCTGCCTAGCGGGAATGAAGCCCAGTCTCCGAAGGCACGGTCTTTACACAAACCACATGCCCTGGCATTTGTTGGTTTATATGATTCAAGATAGGCATTTCCCTGCCCTCGACCCCTTAGTTCTATTTCTGGAAGGATGATGCAGGAGGCAGCTTCGTTTTGCCCTTCCCTGCCTCCCTCACCAGGCCACTGTTCTCTAAATCTGAAAACCCGGCCTGGCTTCCCCAACTGGAGCTTTGAAAAAGAAAATCCCGGAGGGCTGTTGCCAGGCTGTAGTGGTCAGCAAAATGTGTTGTCTTCGGTAAACACCCCCACTTCCTGAGGCTACCCTGTCCCCTTCTTCCAAGAAACAGCTGGAAACCAGCCAGTGGTTGTTCCAGTGTCTTCCCTGTAAGACCCAGGGCCCTGGCTGTGCTTTCTGATTCGCCGGATGAGTCCCGAAGTACTGCTACTAAATCACGGTAGGTGCTGGCAACTCAGTTCTGACGGCAGAACCTTTTATGAAACAAAAATACCAAATCAGGAAGCTTTTGTTTCTGCATCTTTTATCATCCAGGTTCACAAGGCTCAAGGCAGCGTTTCCACCTTTCCACCTCCCCCCCCAAAGAATGCGCTTTTCCATTTGCACCAAGTCAAAACCAAAGCTTTGGTCTCCTCTGGGGACTCAAATCCTATTGTACTCCTCTTCCCTCTTCAGTGTTTTTTGGGTTCTGGGAATAAAAGCAAGTCTGAAGGGGCAAAATCGAGGGCCAGCGGGTGGATGGGGTCAGGTATCCCAGGGTGACCCTCTGCTAGGACCAGCCTTGCTGCCCGTGAGGCCTTTGCAGGTCCTCACAATGGGCACACCTGGCCCTTTTCTCACCATTGCAGTTTGTAATTTTCTTAGGACTTTCTAATGAGCTCACATGATCTGCCTGTGTCCTTTGGTAGAAAATATATCAAGTTCTGGAGTCCCTCAAACCAGCCACCATAACCTTGTGAGCTGACCTGCCTTGAATTGAACTGGCCCAGAAGATCTCTCCAGAAGAGATCCTTTTTTTTAAAGATCCCCTAACAGGACCAAAACAAGTCTATAACCACCCACTGATTGCAGAGACAGGCTTAAACCTGTTTTGTTTGGAATAAACCCACGCAGCTATGAAGTGGAATTCTGGTAGTGATATTTTTGCTGGACCCTTGTGAACCTTGTTAGCTAGAAGTTCCTGATATCAAGCAAATGCTTTTCTCATGTGAAAGTTGTCAGAAGTCAGCCACTGGACGGCAGTCTGTAAGGAGAGCCCCTTCCCTGTTCTTGCTCTTCATTCCAAGTTGGGTCTCCCCTCCACCCACTGAACAGACCTTTGTCCGGTTTGTTTCCCTAAGTTGGATGTCTGCTAAAGGGCTACTACAAGGCCTGCGTGAAATGATGCTTTACCCTGTTGCCCAAGGAGAACTTGTGAAATCACAAAACCTGACAACCTTCTCTTTACAGCTCCGCCTCAAACCGAAAGGCTGGCACAGGCTCCCAAATAACTGGCGACTCCCCCTTTAAATCTTTTTTTAATTCAGTGCCCCCCTTGGCAATTAAAAGCACTTGTCTTCTAGCGCATCATACAGGATAGCTATTGGCGTTCCCATCCCCCTCAGGATCGGTCTGGTGCCCCCAGCCTCTTGGAGAAACCAGTGTCTAGGGGTGGCTTCAGAGTCTGTATGACCTGCTTGCATTAGCTCTCTGGCCCTGGGCTCCTAAGAGCTGCCTAAGTGGATGCGTGGGAAGAGTTAGGTGGGGGGCTGGGAGGAGGAACGGTCCAGAAACCTAGTGAGGAAGGCATTTGGGGCTCTGGTGTCAATATGCGCCTCTCTGCGGGTGTACCCTGAGCGATCACACAGAATTCCCTCGCTCAGAAATCCGTTCATTTCCGTCTGTCTAGTTTCACCGAGCCAGTGCTGGGGGAAGTTCACCTTCCAGGTCCAGGTGTCGCGGCTTCCGGGTGCCCCCAGTCAGCGCTCACCCCGACGTGCTGCACTGCGCTCCCTCACTGCGGGTCGACGGTTTTGTCTCCGATCGTACCCTTTTTTCCTTTTTTAAGTTTCAGCCACGTCTTCCGGGCGTGACCCGCCACGGGGCACTTCGTGTCTCCCCCGCTTGCAGGCACCAGGCTCTCCGCAGTGCCCGTCGGGAGCGAGAGCGCCGGAAGTCGCTTGCCGGCGGCCCCCGGGCTCCCCGGTTTGCACGGCGCGCCACGGGTGCCGGCGCTGGGCTCGCAGCCCCTATGACGGCGACAGGCCCCTGCTCTCTCGGGTGGACCCCGAACGCCGACCCTGCGAGTGAGTGGCCGGGCGCCGCGCCCAGAGACCACGCTCCCGGCTGCGCGCCCCTCGGGTCGAACTAAGCGTCCTCCCGGCGCAGCCTCCTCAGGTCCCGCTCGGGCCCCTCAGACCCAGGCTTCCTCATGGCCTCGTCTCCGCGGGTCCCGGGCTTCTCGGGGCCC